TTACTTCAAAGTGAGTATAATTTTTATTTTTCAAAATTCAGTCAAACCCCTGTGTCAATCTGTAGTCCTTGATGAACTGAAACAAACAAGCTATTGACCAGTTTTTTATCACCACTTTCTCCGGAGAAATCCTGCGCGTAAACTTTAAAAGAAGATATCCTATAAAGATAGAAGTACACACTTAGGACCTCTCTAAAGTAAAGTTAGTGGCATTCTGATATTGTTAATGTGTTAACCCATCCCCTGTGTTGAGAAATATACCCTCAGGTTCCATCCCTACACCTACAGTGGCTCAGAAACTAATTTTAATGACAAATGTACCAAAAATGCATTTTGGGAGATAAAAGCCCCCTTAAGACCACGTTACGGCTCAACCACTCTCAGGTAATCCTCGTGGCCGAGTGGTCAAAGGCGAGGGTATTACAACCCAAGGGGTCCGGGTTAAACTCCCGGTAAGGTGCGGTAAACTGCTATGCTTACGGCCTGTAAAATCCGTTAGGTGGTTGAGGAGTTGATGCCATAAGGGTTAGAGCGAAAAAAGAATTTCTTTTAGAAAGTTGTCAATTCTTTAATAACATGTGTTATGAAATTTTATTACTCAATTGTGATGAAAATTTAACAACCTTGTAATGAAATTGTAATGAAAATAGCTTCATATAAATGTTATGAAAATGTAATGAAATTTTTTTAACAGTGCCCTATAAGTGAACTATCAAAAAGATATCACGGCTTGAAGCTTACGGTGCAGATAAAAGCTGAAAAGGAGATCGGACAGCGTTGAACGGCGCGCCCGGAAATCGAACTTTGTTCGTACGACGCGTCGAACCAAATCTTAGTTTGAGATGTTAACCGGCGTTTTCTGCGGATTTAAAGTTTAGTCAGAACGACTAAATTCGTGTTAATCTCGAAGGAACCGAACATTTTAGTCTTGACTAAATGGTTTTCTGGGTGCAGGATGAATCTTGCCTTCAGGCTGGGGGCAGATTTATCACGGGTTGAATCTGCCCCCTACAGCTTGCCTTCAGGAAGGGGGCAGGTTTATCACGGGATGAACCTGCCCCCTACAGCTTGCCTTGAGGAGGGGGGCAGGTTTATCACGGGATGAGTCAGTCCCCTACAGCCTACAGCTTGCGTTGAGGAAGGGGGCAGGTTTATCGCGGAATTAACCTGCCCCCTACAGCTTGCCTTGAGGAAGGGGGCAGGTTTATCACAGGATGAATCTGCCCCCTACAACTTGCCTTGAGGAAGGGGCCTGATTTATCACGGGATGAACGCGCCCTCCGGGTTTGCCCGTCGTAGGGGGCATGTTTATCACGGGGTGAATGTGACCCTTCAGTCTGCCTCGGAGTGGAGGATTGCGTATTAAGTAATCAAACATAATTCAAGTAGTGCTAATATTAAATTTTAATAAAACATTAAAAATGAAGAAGTTTTCTTTCTGTTTAAAATAGAAACAAGTTTTTAAAAGATTACTTTCAAAGTTTAAAACGAAGCAGGAGGCTTAAAAAAAGTTACAAGTTCAGAATGTTTAAATCGAATAAAAAATAAGATGGCACTTGAAAGGGCTTTTGGGGTTGGGGCATGTTCGTTTCATATTAAGGTCGTATCAGACCCGATGAAGGCCACCACGCCGCTCAGAATTAATTCTTGTCTCTCATGCATTAACTGTTATCTGAATTAAAAATAGGACTACCTTTTTTATTTGAAAGTTACCTTGATAAATCAATATAACTGAACTTTTTTTAACAATATATGATGTACAAACCTGATGGGGCAGACACTCCAGCTTAATGTGACAGTGTAAGAACTTTTTGGGGTTGTCTTTAGTTTGTACAGCCTCTATGTACAAGTGTTGAGCATTCTGTGTAAACTGAAGAGTTTCCCACCCTTCACAGTACACGTTTTTGGAAACTGTCGCATTACAAGAGGTGTAGGTTGGCTGTATTTTTTCATTCAAGGGCTCTCCTTAATTTGTCAGTGCTCCTCCATTTTTTACATGCTACGCAACAACTTGCCTTTCGAATTGTTTGTTTCCTTTTGGGCAGCTTTTAATTGTGCATGTCAGCTCTTCTGTGACACTGCCTGTAAGTAGGAGTTTCGGGACAAGCTCCGCAACACTGCACGCAGCATCGATAAGACTATACGACCTTACGACCTTGTGCTCCGGATGTTGGGCTTCGTGCATAGGATCGCTCTTGCTCGAAGGACGTAAACGTCACTAGAAGTCCCGGAACTAAAGAGATCTCTAGCCGTTGAAAAGAAGGGCTCACTTGACGATTGAACGTATCGCAGCGCAGATATTGTTCACTGTCCGCCATGGCAATGGCTGACAGTTCAACTACGCTGTCGAACCCACAAGTGTTGATGATCACGTAGCGACTCATGTCGACATGTACTTCTGTTAAAATGTTGCCATTTTTCAAAATGTGTATCAAACCAATAGGTGCTTGCCCTAAAAACGAGAATATAGACAGGTAACATATTGCTACAATTTTACCGTGTTTACTTAGGAGTTACTTATTTTTGACCGACAAACCGAAAATTCGGACTATTTAAAGAGTTTAGAAGGCAAATCCTTCGTGACATGTAGCAATACCTCGCAAATTATAAGTGGGGAACTGAACAATGAATACCAACTGTATCACTTTGTTTTCGCGACACAATTTGTTTTAATACGTAAAAATACTATGATGTACCTATTTCGATTTCCTGTTTACACGCAGAGTCGGTATTGTCAGTCTTCTCCTGATTGCTCTGAGTGGGTTCTGATACGGCAGCCAGGCTACTGAGGCTCAACATCCCATCTGTAGGCAAGAAATTTTATAAAATATTTATTATGCTTAACGCAAAATAGATCGTGGTAATTTTTCATGTTACGTAAAAAAAAATACATTACCAAGTTTCTTTTCAGTTTTCATAGTTTTTTCATGAGTTTTATTAACATTCTTGATTCTACTTCGTTTAATTTTCGCAGCAGCCATAAATTTAGCAGGCCTTCTATGATAAATTGTGAGATTTGCTTGACGTCGTGTTGTCTTTAAAATGTGCCCAGTTTGCAAATTGCGTAGAACGCACTTTCCGTCGTCCAATTTTATTTCAACTATGGTGTACGGACCCAGCCAGGGGCTCTCCTTCCAGTCTCCCTTCCGGTCATCCCTCTTCAGATTCCTGAGAAGCACTACATTCCTTTCCTTGAAGAGCCTTTTAGTAATTTTCCTCTTGTCGTATTCTTTACGTTGAATTCTTCGTGCATCCTTTATGTGTTATCGGGCCTTAGACAGTACTTGTGTTTCATTTCTATGAACTTATCTACGACGGCTGCCTTTTCTTTACATTCATCACAGGCTTCTTCATGATAGGTATTCAAAAAATTATGTTAAGTCATGGCACTTTCAGGCCCATCCGGAAAAAGAGAATATGTTGAAGTTTTAAGGAATGGAGAGGTGTGAAAGTGGTCGAAAAAGTCGGAAAAAGTGTACACATGACTTTCTCAAAAAATAAATGCTTCAGATTGGGCGTGATTGAGTATGACTGTGTGTGATTGTGTGTGATTGTCTCGATGATTGTGTGCGATTTTATGTGATTGATTCCGATTGATTGTGTGTGATTGTTTCAGATTGTGCGATCAATATTGTGGCACATTTCGTAAAATTGTGTCACATTGTGACTTGACGGTGTGTGATTGTGTCATGATTGTGTCGGATTTTGTGTGATTGTTTCGGATGGTGGGGTTGTTTTCGATTCCGTGTGATTGAGTCCTATTGTGTCATGATTGTTTCTGGATGTTTTTCCCGTTGTACACATATTGTTCCACACCCCTCGAAAGTAATGTTATTGCCTTTTATTATATTGGCAAAAGTATACTTTGCTTACCAGAATTTTCCATGAAATTTTCATCTGCTTCTTCACTACGCTGTAGTTCTACGTAAAGCGCAAGCACAGGCCCCTGTCCAAATAATAGAACGATGGCGATTACCCAGTAGAACGCTGTTTCTGTGTTCGGTGTGCGAATAGAACGCCTTGCAGTACTGTTGGCCATTCGTGAATTCTATCTCTGAGGCACTTCAATAGCCTGCATTTGATTGTTTCATTTTGTCTTTCCACCTGACCATTTGCTTGGGGATGGAAGGCAGAGGTAACTCTTTGTTCTGTCCCTGTTATTTCACAAAGTTCGTCATGCACCGCATTACAAAATTCTCTGCCTTGATCATTTATAACAATTGTGGGGCAGCCAAACCTTGAAATCCATTCCCAAATATATCTTGCTACTTCCAACGCAGTCTTGTTTTAGAGGGCTTTGGCCTCAGACCACTTGCTAAGGTAGTCCACACATGTCAATACCAATTTGTGTCAAGTTTTCACGTGGTGGGGAAATTGACCTCAGCGGATCTTTGCACTTCAGAACTGCAGTGTTCACCTATGTGCCAGGAATAAACAACAACATCAATAATAATAATAACTAGTAGCAGTCAGGGACTGAGGGGTGAGCTCAAGGCCCTCCGGGCAACTTGTAAGAAACCAAAATCGTAACTTACTAACGTGTGTTATCGCTGAAGCTCAGTCCAAGTCGCTGAGGGGTCAGGCGATGTCTCCGTCGTGAGTCTGTCTGTCTGTCTGTGTGTCACATTCCGTATCTCCTCAAAATCTGCTGCACTGACAGCGAGAAGCGGGTTTGTCTTAGAATCGATAATTTACGAGGATTATCTGTTTATCTATATCCCCTTCCTCTTCCCCGCCCCGCCTACCAGTGTACCTTTTTCGTTTCGTGAGTACTCGTTCGTTATTGCTTTTGACCTTGTGTTTCTTCGCCACTAACTCACTTCAGTGTTAACCGTCAGTTTTGTGTCTTCCTGTTTCGTGCGATTGCGGTACGACTGATATGTTCGCGTGCGTTATTTCCGACAGGTTTCGGACGGTGCTGATCGTGCGTTTCACTCAAATTTAAGGACGAGTTCAATGGCGTCGTCGCATTTCCATTTCCCAGTTTCCCATCTCACCTTCCCTTCCTCCTCTCCCCCTGTCGCCTACCTCAACATCAACAACATGTCTGCTTCTGCTTGCTACAAAGTTCAGATCTCAAATTCTGTAGTTTTAAAGGGAATATTTTTTCACAAGATGTTTCGTTTTAAGACACGTTTTGATTCTTTAGTTGTTTTGTGGGACGATTTTTATTTGAGTGCCAAGTATGAAGGTTGTCCTACATTGAGTTGTCCTACATTGTGAGTGACAACTGTTTCAATATTACATTCCGCCTATTAGGTTAGACATTGTATTTCTGTTTTGAGTAATTTGTGAATGGTCATCTTACTTAGAGAAGAACTGTGGTTATGTACATTGTGTTCTGTTTCAGTTTTTATATGTGTGTGTCGTATGTCAGTATTTGTTATGTTTACATTGGTCCACATGATTCAGACACTCATGATGGAATTGAAAGTATTCTCTACGTTAATACAAACAACAAGATACCATTCTGTAGATTTGTGAATTTACTGAAATTTTTCTAAGAATCGCTTTCTTGTGTGTTTGGTGTGTCACAGTGGGAATAAATCCTTTTGGACAGGCTCGAAGTGTTCAGTACTAATTAACGATTAGTTCGCACTAAAAAGAACCCTGACTGTACTGCAGATCAATAAGTTTTTGTCGACATGATAGATGTATTCAGCTGTGTTGACTCTTTCCAATGGTCAATTACTCGGTGCAAAACTTCACATTCAATACCAGATATCGTTATTTGTGTTTCAGTTTGGTTCTGCAAGTTGTAATACCACTAATTGCTTAAGGAGTTGGACAACCATGGTCTTTTGCTTTTTCATAGCATGTCAATGCAATTTTTATGTGCAGCCCTTAGTGGCACAACAGTTTAGTGCGTTCCTGCTGCAGCTCATTGTTTTCATTGAAGACATGAAAAATATTTCGTGACATACTGATTTTGTGCAAGTAGTTAAAACTTACTGAATTGATTAATTCACAAGCATGGCAAAGGATAATGGTTATTTTTTTAATATTATACTGTAATTTTTGAGTCAAGATATGAGAATCACAGACAGGAAGTCTGCTCATTGCTGCTGCTTGTCTTTCCAGATAGATGTCCTTTCTTTGTTAAAGTACTTATACTTGTTTTAAACCTAGCCGTTGAAAAGAAGGGCTCACTTGACGATTGAACGTATCGCAGCGCAGATATTGTTCACTGTCCGCCATGGCAATGGCTGACAGTTCAACT